CCCGGGCTGAGGAGGGGGGGCTGTGCTGCAGCCTCCGGGGGACTCGCTGCTGGGAGCCCTTCTGGCAGACTGGGGCTCTGATGGGATCGGCAGCTTTTGCTTGGAGGCTATCGGTTACAGTGTTTCAGAATTGGTTTAACTGAGGTAATGGGATTTGAAGAAAACACTTGTATCTTTCCAGCCCTACTCCTTTCTGCAAGACAGAAGGTTCCTCTTTTCTTCCCTGGAGGAAACCGAGTTGGCAAACTGAGCTAAAATGCCCCAAGTTACAAAGGAAATGAAGGCTCTGACTTCAGTCTTGCACAGCCTTCAGCTCTTGAAGTGCAGCTCTCGGGCTGTGGTAGGATTGTAAAACCACTTGTGGAAGATTAACTGGGATGTAGCAGGTGCTGATCCCCTGGCATGCAGCAGCTGAGAGGATGCTGCAGTCAGGCTGCTTTAATGAATCCTTAGCGCAGCTCTTGACTTTCTGTGCTGAGACACCACTGTTTCATATTCATCTTACCAGCCTTTTAGGCTTGCTTTTAAGCCTTGGTGACCCAGTTCTGGTGGGTATTAGATGCCAAAGATGTTTTCATGTGGTGAAACCTTCCTCACTGCAGTCCTCAACTATCTGAGGTTCTGGTTCAGGGTCTTGCTCTGCAGAATGAACCTGCAGCTGATGCAAACCCTGCTTCAGACATTTGTAGTGATCAAAGATTCTTCCCTAATACAAGTAGATCTCTGAGCTTTTGGCTAAAGAAAGCACATGACCAGTGAGTGCATGAACAGGAGTTCTGAGCTGGAGTTGTAGCTCTCCCCACTTAATTCCCTGTGATATCTGGGTGGAGGGGTTAATTTTATCCCTTCAGATGAAGTATCTATCTACAGCAACACTTTGCTAGTTAGAAGTGATGGTGTTGGAGAGGCAGCTGAGAAGTGAAGGTCTTGTAAGGAAGAGAGCTTGTCAAACTGTAGTCATCAGCTCAGAAGCTGAGTGCTTTTTCTTGTGGAAGTGTTGTTTCTGTGTGCAGAAGTCCTGAATTAGATTTATTGCAATTACTAGCTACGAATTGATTGAACAATTTGTAAAGGTGAGAGCTGAGCTTGTTTTTGTGATGTCTGTAAGAGCTCTGTACCAATACTAGCTTACATGTAGGCATGGGTAAAAATTGTTGGATTAATGTTTGAATCTAGAGCAGTGAGAAGTATGCTGTAGTACTTTGGGGTGGTTGTCAGGGTAAAGATCAGAAATGTGCAAAAATGAAGAACAAGAAAGCAATCACTTGCACAGCGCTGGGGAGACGGGTCAGAGTGTGGAGCAGTGGAAGAAGGCCCTGGCTTGAGGGGGTAAGGAAATAATAGATTTTTCTGAAGTACTTAGATCCACTTCATAAGTAGACAAAAGCTTATCCACATTGCTCCTGTGACTGTTCTTGATGGGTGGGATGGGCAGTGTGATGAGTCACTAGACTGTCCCTCAACTGTCCCTCTAGTTTTTGGTACATGCTATCTGTCACACCATTGCTTGTTTCCTCCCTACTTATCTCTTTGGATTTCCACAGCTATCTAGTTGCTCTCAAGTACTTTTGTGCCTTCTGCAAAATGACAGTAGCCTTTTCTGAAGTCCTCTTTAAAGCCTTTGATAAGGGACATAACCTTCTGCCAGTTCATGAGATGCTAATGTAGATGCCAGAAATCATTCAGCACACACTGCTTTTATTTCCTTATCTAGCCATCTGTTAACTCTGTGCCTGGACTGAGCTCAGAAAAGGAGTGACTGTGTGTGCACCTCTCTGCTGAACGCATCCTGTTCACTGATGTGTGTGGATTCATGTTTACCCAGAGACTTAGTGGTATCTTCCAGCAAGGCTGTCCTTTCAGTGTCTTGGTGCAAGGATCTTCATTAGATGTATGTGTGTGTGCAGCAATTGTACATTATACTTGGGAGACAGGTCATATGTAGTGTAGACTCACAGTTGTAGACACTGTGTCAGAGTGATTGCCAGCTTGAAGGTGCAATGGTCATTTTACATTGCTTTTTAAATGTGATGACACTTCTTGCCCCTTCCAAAATTGAGGGCTGTAAATAGTAAACCTGGAGTTGTGGCACTACTTGTTTAAATAGAGGTGGGGCTTTTACCTGAGACTGAGCAGGTTCTGCTTTTGAAGGAATTCTTGTTGTAAGCATCTCTCATTAACTCTTTAAATGAACAGTATACAGGGAAGACTTGACGCTTTGCTCTTTTGCACCGAATGTTGACATTGGACAACAGTGTCCTATTGACTTAGACTAATTTGGAGCTAGTGAGCTGACTTTGGTAAAATGACAGTATTTGAGGTGTTACCTTCTGGTTCTTTATTCCCACCCTCACACTCTCCTTGCTGGCTGGAAGATGTTGGTATCTCTTAAATATGATATATGCTGTGAGGTTCAGAGGGTGGCTTCTTATTCCCAGCATTTGAATTTGTATGGCACCTAAAAATCTCACAGTATGAACAGTGGTAGTGGTCATATGCTATTTTTTAACACAGTTCTCAAAACACATCTTTCAGTGATTGCTCTCAGCTCCTATTGAACTCATGCTCTCCCTACTGTAACGGTAGGGCTGGCTTTGTGCCACCCATGACACCTTCCTTATGAATCAGTCGGGAAGGAGCCCTTGCTCAAGAGATGTATCCTTCTAGCTCTGGGAACACTGAAACTGCATGTGTCTTTAGATGGAATACATGTGGTGTGGGTAGCACAATTCTAAAATCGCAGTGTATTTCAATAGAATAAGGAGAATACCCCAAAGAAGATGATATCTGTATCCTTTAAAGGATGAAGCTAAGTAAATGGCTGTTGAAGGAAGTACACTGCCAAACCTGCTTCAGTAGTGTTAACTGGAGAGTAAAAGGGTAAATTGCCTTCTGTTTATCCATTACAGTAGTTGTTAAGTTAAAAGACTTATGAGGGAGCATTTCCTGCAGCAGTGTGTGGAGGACAGATTAAATGAGGCATTCTGTGTGCAGCTGAGCTAGGGGAGGATGCTCTGCCCTGGGGACCTGTGCTGGAGCATGGCCAAGGTCAGCTCTGCTGTTGGACTCTTCTGCAGAAGCAAGAAGAAAATACTAGTCAATACAGCTCAGTCTCCCTTTGTTTGTACTTGTGACTTCCATTTAGTAAATATTTGAGAAAAATAGTTGAACAACAAATTCCTGCCTGATAGGGAGGAATCTTGTAGGAACTTTCCCACTTAAATTCTGAAGCTAACCAATGATTTTTTCTCCTCCCTGCCTCCTCTCATTTTAGGTCTGCTTTTGGATGTGCACCTTATTTGGAGAATCAACTTAATTATGGGGTGAGGGGGAAATAATCAATTAAGCACAGTGGTAGATACATGTAACTTATGTATCTGATCCATAAATATTAAGATGGATGAGTTTTAAGGACCTGTACAGATCTTTACTTCATTGCTGGAAGGAAATGTTTTCCATATGGGTGGCCTGGGTTGAATTTAGTGAACTAAGTGACTGCAGCATGTTGTGGAGTGGACCGTTTAAGTGTGGTGGAAGGGCTGGTTGTGCAATGGGATGGAAATACTTGATCAAGGATCAGATTCCCAGGTGCTGTTGCTGTACAGCTCCACCATGGACCTGGTTCTGTGTGGTGATGCCTTGTCTGTGCAGTGCCTCCACTGGAGGAGTGGGTGTGTACCAGTGGTAAGTGGAGCTTTCTGTATTTTTGACTGCCCTTTAGAAACACAGGTTCTGAGGAGACTGTTTTCCACTCTGGCCCGTTCATAAGGAGTTTCTTAGCTGACAGTGTGAGGGGTTCTAGGCAGGTCAGTTGAGCGCTCTGAGGTAGTTGCAGTACTGTCAGCAAGTGTTGCAGTGCTCGCATGTTGATGCCTCAGCTGTAAATTCAAACAGCATCTTATCTAAATTGAACAAATGGGTAAGAACTAAAGAGTTAGTCCTCTGCCCCACCATAATTCCCACAGTCACGGACTCCCATGGTTTTAGAAAGCTTATGGCATTCCTGACTGGACAGCATTCAGGAACTTTGTTTATAAAGGACTTCTGTCACTGTGTTCTGATCTTCAATGTGCTTATGGGTAGCAATAGTATAAAATGTTTAATATTGGGAGTGAGATGCTCAAGTAGTGTGAAACAGGAGAGACTCTTACTGGAGTGTCCCATGATTGAACTAGATGTGTGATGTGCTTGTAGGGTTAAGTTACCCTCAAATACAAAACAAGTGTGCAATGTTTTAGCCTTATAGTAACACTGTGTGCCTCTGCAGAGGAGGTGGCCAAGCTGGAAAAGCACCTGATGCTTCTCCGCCAGGAGTATGTAAAGCTGCAGAAGAAACTAGCTGATACAGAAAGGAGATGCAACCTTCTGGCTGCCCAGGCTAACCAAGACAATGCCAGTGACACCTTCATCAGTCGACTTCTTGCCATTGTAGCGGAACTTTATCAGCAGGAGCAGTACAGGTAAGAAATCTCCCTTTGGGGAAAGGGCTGTTACAGGAACCTTTGATTTTATTGGCTACAGTAGGTACTAGTCTTAGGAAAATTCTTTCTCTACTGCCTGGTATGAATAGGATCCTCAGGTGCCATTGCGGTTGGAAGAGCATGCTAACGGCATGTAGCATATTGAATCAAGACTTGGATTCAAGAGCTCTAAGTAGAAATTCATCTCGCTCTGGCACTTAAGGCAAGTTTAAAGAAAACTGAACATTTTCACTGTCAACGGCAAAGCTCCCTTTGAACAGAAGTAATTTTGAACTGATCCATACTTAGTTGATGGCTTAATTACACAACGTATCTTCCAATAACTGGAAAGCCCTCCTTTCTTTGAGAGGATCTGTCCTTGAAACCAGTGCTGTGCTCCTGTTGTGTGTAAAGGAGAGGATCTGTCCTTGAAACCAGTGCTGTCCTCCTGTTGTGTTTAACAAGCCTGATTAAATTGGCTTGTCTGGTTGTGTGATGTAACAGGTCTTAGACAGTGATATATGTGACTCAGTGATGTGGATTGTATTGTATCTTTGAATCTCAACACAAAATTAGGCTTAATGGTTTCTTTTCCATAGGCACATTAAGGATCATCTTCAGTACTCTGGATCCCTTAACTGATTCAGTTCTAAGACCACAATGACACTTATCAATTTCTTTGCTGTTACTGGAAGCAATGTCAATATAACATAGGAGTTCAGTCATGTAAGGGGAAGGTTTTGATTAAAATTTCCTTCCCCTGACATCTCTCCATGAGCCTCCCTGAGAAAAGGCTCTGTGCCTGGCAAGAACTTATTATAGCATGCTGGAGAAAAGATCTGTTAGGTAGCAGATGTCAGAGCTGGATCACTTCATTTCTGTTTGGCTCTTAAGTTTTAAAGGCATAGAATAGTGGTCTAGTCATAAAAGGAGAAAGGAAGCAACTCTTAATGCAAGTTTTATTAAGTAACATGTCTGTATTTTGTACTTTGGTTTGTAGCAGTGCTTTGATTTAGAAAATGGTCTGGGAAATACACCTACACAGTCAGAACATCTGCAAGCTATGAGATTTAAAAATAAACAGGGCAGGTACTTTCTAACTACAAAGGATAACCTGGTATTAAAGGGGTCAGAATGAAATCAAAGTGTTCTTGACAGCTGGTCTCCTGGGAACTGGGGATTCTTGGAGCCTGCCTTGTGCTCAGACTGCTGTCAAACATCATTTGTTCTCTTGCTGGTCTTGCCTGAAACTGTTGGTGCTTCACTGACAGTATTAGAATGGACACTGCAATGTAAATACTTAAAGTTGTTGGATTTTCCTGTCCTCTCCAGTAGTTCCCTTTGAGTTTATTCTAAAAGGGTTTAAAAATAAAAAAAAACTCCAAACACTTTGAATACTAATGACTCATTGCATTTATCCCTATAAAAATTAAGAATTGTGCCATTTGGCAACACGTTCTATTTAACCAATTAAATGTGTTTTGATGTCTTGCACAACTTGAACCTAAATGTGGATACCAGAACACAGCTACTATGGAGATGCTGAATCCATGTGTATCTAAGCCCAGGGGAAGCCTGCATTATACATGTGTATGCTTTTTTTCTCTTATCAGTGATCTGAAGATAAAGGTTGGGGAAAAGCACATCAACGCTCACAAATTTGTCTTGGCGGCACGCAGTGATACTTGGAGCCTTGCCAGCCTTGCCTCAACAGAGGAGCTGGATCTGTCAGGTCAGTCGTTGCTGAGTGATACATGGTGCTTCCGGTGTCTTTAGGATGACTGATGAAAGGGCCAGTTGGGAAAAGGTTACTTGTGTGCATTCCAGACTACTACTGTACACAAAGTGGTGCTTAATCCATTAATGATGGAGTTCTGCCTCTCAAATGTGGCAGTACGCTTGTGAACTCGCTGCTAGTTAAATCAATAACCTACCTTCTTTCTCTTTAATGAACAGGGGTTGAGAATGGTGGCCTGTTTGTCTTTTCTAGAGTCAACTAAACATAATGAAAAACAAATCTAGATGGAGGAGCTTGACTTCTTCCTTTCTAAGGACAGGGCTTTTGGAGGTAGTGTGCATAATTTCTCTGAAGTGTGCCATGGAAATACATTGCTTCTTGTTAACATAGTGTGTGTGGGAAATGAATCCAAATACTGATATGTTATTAAAAAGTTATTTGCTTTGGCCCTTTAACTTTGCAAAATAGATGAGGAAGAGAAACGTTCTAGAAGTCTTCTACAAGACAGTGTTTTGTTCTGCTGTAGCTGTTTCTTGCATGTGCTTACACTGGGCAGTATTTCTGCAGATTCAACCTCTTGACAGGCTTTTCTTCTGTACTTAACAGTATAGAAGTCTTATACAATTAATTTGTGAGCAAGAAAAACAGGCATGAAGTTAAGCAGGTTTGCTGGCTGGCATGTTGAATATTAAGCATTAGCTTCACTTTCTGCACTTAATCTTATCATGAATCCTAAGTGCAGGCAAACTGGAAAGAAGCAAGTCACAGCAAGCTAGTTTTCTGAGGCAGTGTAGGCTTTCTTGCATAAGGATTTATGGCGCTTTCTACAGTCACAAGAAAACAGATGCCAGAGTTTTTAAATTGAGTGCTGTGCTAACAGAAGATTATTACCAAAAAGCTTTCATGTCAATTGTAGTTTTGTTGCAAGTGGCAGTCTGTAGTATTTCTAGCTCCACATTTAAGCTAGTCTGAGAGTCTCAAATGTAGCTGCAGTCTTGCATGTTTAACAGTGCAAACACTTCCTGTTATAGAATGATGCTTAAAATAAGTGCTTGTAAAGGATACTTTCCACTGTGTAAAATGGACTTTTTAAGTGGAAATTTGATAAATGGTCCAGGGATTAGGTTATGAAATAGTTGTAGCAAGTAACAAGCTGTTCCCTAAATCTGCAGTGGTTTTCTTAACAATGTTCTCCTAAGAACTTGCAAGTTAAGATTGCCTGAATCCTGACTTCAAAATACAGGCAGCAGTTAAAATTAAGTGTCTTCAGAGTTCATGTAATCTGCAGAATTTTCTGCTCTTTAAGAAGAGTAGAAAGAGATGAACACGGATTCTCTTGTTGGGAGGGAGAAAGGGAACTCTTATCTCCACTGAGGTAGAGCTGATATTACAGCTCAAGTAGGTTTTCTGATTACTTCAAGTTTGGCAAAAGATATTGCCTTACTAAAAACTCCTGTTTCTTAGGAGGCAGTCTACACGCTATGCCAAGTACTGTCTGGTGCTCTGCAGATAATCTGGGGCAGCACTCTGGGTAAAGGAGATGTTTTAGGATGGGTATTTCAGTGTCTTCAACATGTATGTCTTCATTTTAAAAGCAAACCAAACAGCTTAAGGGACTCATATTTTTCTAAATGAATGGCATTTTTTGTTGTAATTGGTCTGATCTTGTGTTGTGGAGTAATTCTCATCTATACCCTTGTAAGCAGGATTGTCACTAGGCTTCTGAGTAGGTGAGATATGCAAGTCCAATGGCTAGGGACCTATCTTGTGTCCTGTGGTTTAGGTTTCTGTTGTTCCTGCTGTGTGAAAACATCAGGCTTGTGATCAGTGTTGTAAACACCCCAAATCCAAACAGCTGCTTAAACAGACTCTTTTGCAGCTTTCCTAGAAATGCTTCCCAGCAGTTTTAAGTACTTTGTAGTCATTACCAGGGGCAAAGTACCTTGTTGGAACATGACAGTTCACAACAGAACTATAATATAAGAGGGAGGATTCTTAAATTGAGAAGGGGATTTGGGCTTGTCAAATGTGAATTTAGCCGTATGTGAGCATCACCGGCCCCTAAATAAGCAATATTTGCCTAGCAGATAGGAGATGTTACAGGACTCCCTGCACTGCATTCTGCACAGTGTTCCAATGGAAGAAAAGCTTTCCTGCTTGGTGCTAGCATTCTTACTAGTGTCACCTTCTTGCCAGTTTTGTCTCTGTTTTGACACTTTGATTGAACTAAGCAGCTACACTTTCAATGAGGCTGTCTCTTTTCATGGTAGCTGTGGCTTTAACAGTCAGAGGAATAGCAGCTTCTTGAATAGGTGATTGTTTTTCAGGTATTCTGTTAATCCCTGTTGCTCTCTGTACCAGATGCTGACCCAGAGGTAACCATGGCAATGCTGCGGTGGATCTACACGGATGAACTCGAACTAAGAGAAAATGATATCTTCTTGACAGAGCTCATGAAACTAGCTAATAGATTTCAGCTCCAGCTGCTTAGGGAAAGGTGAGTCTTGGTAAATACAGTGAATCTTCTTGAACTCTTCAGCCTTCTTTGAATAGCCCTAAGATGATAGCTGCTGGAAATTGGATAAAGCTTTTCTTTTTCAAAGTCTTGAGGTTTTCAATAATACAGCATGACATTCAGTTTGTCATAGGAAATGAAGCCTTGCACTACAGTTAAACTGTAGCAGTTTCTCATAGCTTTTATGTTTACTTTCCAGTTCCTCTCCCTGTCAAACTAATAACCCTAATTTGGCATTAAGAGGAAGCAGAGATCAGTGTATTAGTGACAGCTCTAGAGAGCTGCAAGAAAGGAATTGTTAAAAGAGAATGCTCGGAAGAGTCAATGACAAGTATCTTGCAGTATTAATGCCACAGGTGAAAACTTGTTAACTTAAATAGTTGTTCTGTGCATCTTGGGGCAACTTTTCATAAAGAAGGTTAATGTAACAGTACAGTGCTTTGCCATTTTGAAGAGATTATGACTAACACCATTCTAGTAAGGGCTAGGTTGTTATCTCAAATGTATAGAGTGTTCTAAATAACAACTTAGTGAGAAGCCTGGATGTACAAATTTAAACCTCTTCAAGTTTTGTAAGACAAAGTACTCTTTGTAATGATCTTTTGCCCAAGGGGTGTCTGGGGCTGTAGCAGTACGTAGCACTCTTAATCTGTGAGTTAATTGTGACTCAACGCAAGCAAACAGCTGCTGTCAATTCTTCTGAGCAAAGAAGTTGACGTCTGTAAGACCAATGCTAAAACTGCCTTCAAACTGTGTACCCACCAGAACTGTCTTCAGTTGTACTACCTACACGTCCCTCAGCTGTTGTCTATTCGTGGTAGTCTAGTGACAAGTCTACATACAGTATGCTGCTAGTAATTATTGGATGTACTGGTAGGTGTCTGCACCTGCAGACAAGTATTTCCATTTTTTTTGTCTTAATATCTGCTTGGAGATCACTGGCATGTTTAACTTTGTCTGCATTTCAAGATACTTGGATTTTCTTCCCATCAGCTCAAACTAATATCTTCACACCTACAAAGATTTGGTGGATCTGCTGTTAAGGCTTATCCCTTCTCTTTATGAAACAAATAGCTGTATTTGGCATGCCTCTTTCTAGCTTTGGTACAAAGGCTGTGTGTGATTACTGTAGTACTTGCAGAGTTATACATCTTCCTCACTTCCTAACAATGACTGAACTGCAGTTTGTTCCCTTGGGACAGCTAGGATGCCTGCCTTCACTTGCAGGCTCCTGCAGAGTGTGGTGTTATCATGGGACCTTAACTTTGGACTCTAATAGGAGTCTGCTCTTAGGGAAATTGTCTTACAGGGCTTCTGATTAAAGTACATTTGTGCTGTTTAGCCTTATAGTAAAGCAAAGCCAAGCCATTTTCTGCTGGCATCTAGGGAAAGGAGTATATAGGACCCTGTTACAGCATGGGAGAGTGATTACAGTAAAGCTGTTTCCTGATTACTGAACACTGGCTTTCCTATTTTGACAGATGTGAAAAAGGAGTTATGTCACTAGTTAATGTCAGGAACTGCATTCGTTTCTATCAGACTGCTGAGGAGCTGAATGCTGGCACTCTGCTGAACTATTGTGCTGAGATAATTGCTAGTCACTGGGTAAGTCCTGTCAGAAGAAAGCAAGAGGAAAATGTTTGTGGAGTGTAGGAACTTAATCAGAATCTTGCTTGACTTCCTGTACTGCCTGATCTTGGGTGTATCTCTTAGTATGCTAGCATTCAAGCATTCTAGTTGGGATGGTGATTATGTGGATTCCTGATAACTTTCAGTGACTAAGGTGAATTATTATGCTGACCCTTATATGTTTGCAAGGAGCAAGTGTTGATAAAAAGCTGTCAAATCTACCTGCCTTGCCCCTGGTGTGAGGTGAAGGGCTTTTTCTGAGGCAGGAGTGGCTTTTCCCTTCCCATCTGTCTGTTATATTTATAATATGTGCTTTTGATGCTGTGTATTATTCAGTATTCTCTACAATACTAATTCATAATTATGTTTGAAACAAAGCACATTAATTTAATGTGCTCCTTCTCTAAGATTTTTTTTGTTGTCTTTAGAGGTTGTGTTTGGTGTCTATCTTGGTGTGAATGTCTTGACTGTGAGGAAGTAGTTTATACCCTGAAGAGCTGTTCTGTTCATTGGAAATACTTCACTGTAAAAAGCATCTTCCTTTCCTAAACATGAGCCAAACCAAAGGGACTGTATTTGAATAAGCAAGAGGGTTGTTTATCAGATCTGGACTCTGAACTGTTCAGAAGCTCATCCATAGTTGGTCTCTGTCTGCAGGGATCACAAATCCCAGGCCTGCTTTTACTTCTAAAAATAATCCAGGGAAGACACAGTTTATCTTCTGTAATGGAGGGAGTGGCAAGGAGTATTGCAACTGACTTGGAAGTTTCATTTGCTCTGATCTGTTCTTTTGAGGAAAGTTTGATTAACTGTGTAATGGATTAGCCTTTAAGACTTGTCAATAGCAGACTAGTGCATGAAGATTTAACTTGTTCTAAATCTAAAAGGTATCATACAGATGTGGATGTTTCTTGTTTAGCTAATGCCAAAGCAGAGGGGAGTGCTTTGATCTGTGAATATACTAAAGCTTTGAACCTGCAGGTCAGACACTTTAACTTTTTCCTGCTTCTGGCTCCTAACTTTTGACACTGTGTTCTACCTGGAAATGAGGTTATTTCTGTTTAGTCTAATGAGCACTAACTCAAACAAGGTCTTCATACTTCTAAGTTTCTGTTTACTTTTATTCAGTTTTTCAAAGTTCTGTGCCGTTCTCAGTCTTCAATAGTTGTAGGAATTTTTGTCAGAAAACTCCAATCTGTGATGCAAGTCCAGATAGAGAATTAGTTTGGAGACTAGATGTTAATCTACTGTAATGTCTGGGTAAAATGCTCATTTTCCATGTCTGTAGGCAAAAGGGAAGAAAAACCTCACTAAATCTTGAAACTGAAGTGTAAGATGTATAACTTCCTGGGAGTTTTTCCCTAGACTTAGAAGGCTATCTTGGACTATTCTTGCTTCTTGGGATGTTATAAAAACAGAGTTTTTAACTGAACTTGTTTTGTGAACTTTAATTACATTGTGCAATGCCTTGTTTATAAATAAAATAGGGGTGTTGCTTACGCTTTTTCTTTTATTGCTTCTAGGATGACTTGCGTAAAGAAGACTTCAGTAGCATGAGTGCTCAGTTATTGTATAAAATGTTCAAGTCAAAGACAGAATATCCTTTGCATAAGGCTATTAAAGTTGAGAGAGAAGATGTAGTCTTTTTGTATCTTATTGAAATGGATTCACAGGTACAGTGAGACTGACTTGATCTGCCTTCTAGAATTTGATGTTTCAAATAACTAGTTTCTATCTACCAATCTGAACCTTGTAATTGATCTTTTGTCAGAAATTCTTATTTGCATGTTTATCATTACATACCTAGAAGTAGCTATGGCAGTGGAGGTCTAGCAGTAAAGGCTTCTGTCTTATGTCTATAAAGAATTATATTGATTCTATATGAATCACTTCTGAAAACTTCTTGCATGCAACAGATTGTATCTAATAAAATCCTATACTTGATATTGCTATGCACATTTCAAGTTGAATGGCATAATAGTCAATTTAGCTGCTTCATGGCAGTTCAGTAAGCATAATTTCTTTGAACAAATGCTTTTCCTCTTCTGCTGAATGTTTGAAGCAGCAGGTATTTGTGTTTGGATGAACACTCTAAACAACTAGTAAGTTGTTCCCCAACAAAGGGGAAGGAAGAATTCTTTAAGTATTAATTATCAATAATTACTCAAACAGTCGTTTAAGATGTCTCAAATCCTAATCGGAGGCTGGGACTGTAGCGGTACTTAGCACCCTTAGATGCTAATCCAGTGGGGATTTGAGGTATCTTAAAAGAAAATTGGATAATTCTTGCTAGTGCTATGTTGAATAAACCTATATAGGCAGCATCTTAAGAGTGTACAAGTATTGCTTCCTGTGAATTAAACAAGACTGCAAACAGAACTCCTGTTTTCTCATTGAACAGCCCTGTGGGTAGACTTGCAAGTGGTGACACTAGTTGTCGTCTTGTTTTCCTGTGTGAGATAATCTCACCTAAATGCAACACTAGCATTGTGCATTAGAGCTGAAGATCTAACATTGTGGTGGTTGGAACAGGCTGTTAAGATATCATGTTAGGCTGATGAACATACTTCTAGCTAATGTCAGTTGTCTGAATTTGTGTTGTAGCTCCCTGGGAAGCTCAATGAATTGGATCACAACGGAGATCTTGCTTTGGATCTAGCCCTAGCCCAAAGATTGGAGAGTATTGCAACTACACTGGTCAACTACAAGGCTGATGTAGATAGGGCAGACAAGAGAGGCTGGAGTCTACTGCATAAAGCCATCCAAAGAGGTGAGTAAATAGTGTATGAAGCCTTGCTAATTTGTAGTTGTTCCCAGTGTGGAAATATATTCCAAAGTCTATTCCTGTGTCACTTTGTAGCTGACACCTCAGTTAGAAAATTGTAGTCAAGGATGAACTTTGTCCTATTTCTTTTTTTAAACTTAAAACCAAACAAACTCTTATTTGGGATCTGAAAGCAAGACTGCTGGATGGTGAACTAAAGTTATGCTACATGACATCCAAAAGGAATCTAGTAAGAGTATTGTCTGCTAAAGAAAGATGTAAGGAAATACTGAGCATATTCTAATTTGACAACACAGTCTTTCTGATAAGTAGTTGAATCAAGCATGACAGTCTAGTCACAAATAAAGATGAAGCCTTTTTCTAGACCTGGGTTAATGCAGCATATATATATATATATCTATGCTTAACAGCAAGGGTCCTTGTTACTGGATGGTGGCTTCAGGGGAGGAAGAACTAGATGGAAGAAGATGAGGTTCAGGTTAAAGTGTTTCTCTGCCAGTCTGAATATCTTCAAAGCTTCAGTGAATAGTAGCATAGTTATCAGAGTGGAGTCTGAGTACAACTACATGATTATCTTGAGCTGTTCTCCACTTTAGAGTGGAAGATGCATCTTATGAGACCTGGAGCACAATAGGATCTGGTTGCTGTGGCCACAGTACTCTGAAGGCTTTGGAGAAGCAGCATCTTGGCCTATGGCCAAAGTCTGGTAAAAATCTGTAATGGGTGCCTCCTGTTATTAGTTGCCTGTAATGATAATCTTTGGCAGCTCTGTTCTAGCAAGCCAAGTGCAGCAGGAACCTTACTTGTGACTGGACCTCATGGGTAGTGTAGCGCTACAAATTAAAAGCGTAAGTTCATTCTTAACAGCAATCTCTTTTGGACTTGTGGAAGTTTAGGTTTTGTGAGCTCAAAATACAGCTCCTGACTTCTTCCTTTAATCTCCTGTGCATCTAAACAGGGTAATGGTGGTGTCTGATCTTGTGAATGAAACTTCAGCAGCAGGAGTAGGAGACGTTCTAGGCATGGGTTGGTGTTGTGATGGCTGCAGTCCTATAAAGCATTACAAAGATTGCAGCAGGCTGCTCTTAATGCTAGCATTTGTCCTCTAGTTCTAATGTCTGCTTTCAGTCTAAGCTAGAGCTCTGAGAATTAATGCTTGCTTTCCAGTAATTAATCACTGTTAACAATCACATGTTCTGGAAACAGAGCTAAAGCAAACTGTCTGAACTTGCCACATGATTCTTATTTGTTATGATCATTGGAGAGTTGGATGTCAGATGTGGAAATGAGAAAACGGGATTTTGGTTTTTCCTGGCAGAGATAACACAGCAGTCTATATTGCTTATACAGGCCAACGTCTGTCTTCTCCAGTCTTGCATTCAGGACAAGCAACTCCTGAATGTCTGTTCAAAATAGTCTTTGGAGTAAGAGGAATTAATATTATCCTGAAGTCAGTCTGCGTCTTGATGTTTCATGTACTGAAGTGGGCCTAGGTTCTGACTTCTGAGAAGCTCTCAAGAAGGAGGTCTTAGGAATGCCATGTGTGGTGGGTCCTAACTGCTGAAGCCCTTTCCCTGTATATAATGGGGCCTGAACTTCCAAGAGCAATGGCTGTGTTATTGCTTGTTTAGGTAGCAGTACTGAACAGATGAGGACTATATCCACACACTTTTGACCGATGCCCTTGGAATTGTACCTTTTGTTCAAAAACTACTTTTATGTTTAGTCTCACAATTTGTCCAATTGCCAGTATGTGAACTTGCCATGTGTAACCTCCCTCTTTCCAAGGGCTTGTTGTGAAATATTTTAATCCTGACTTTGCAGTGAAGTGTTCTTCAAGTTACCTATTGCTAAGGCATTTAAGAGCAGACACTTGTATTGGGACAGTATAGAGGGGAATCATGTGTATCCATGTTCTGGACTTGTATATAGGGTTCCACTGTATCCATAAATAACTTTATTTTATTTCCCGAAAGGAGATAAATTTGCTGCAAACTTTCTCATTAAAAATGGTGCCCGTGTGAATGCTGCTACATTGGGAGACCAGGAGACTCCTCTGCACCTTGTGGCATCGTACAGCCCCAAGAAGCATTTGCCAGATGTCATGGCAGAGATGGCACAGATAGCAGAGTCCCTCTTACAGGCGGGAGCCAATCCAAATATGCAAGACAACAAGGGAAGGTAAATACTGGGTGAAGTAAAGCCTGCTTCCAGTTGAACAGATAACACTGTAGTGATTAGATGCAGCCCACAAAGAACCTGCTCAGGTCTGTCAGCAAAGCACAGGTGATACTGGAAGCAGGAAAGGTGAATTTGTTAATTTGGTTTGAGACCTGTGGGTAGCACTCAAAGCAGAAAGCTGTGTGGGCTGAACGGTACACTGGTGTGACTAATTAGACATAGCCCAGCTGTAGAAAGCTGGGGTGAGCTGATTGTGTTAGAACATGTGGCACACAATTAATTTGCCTTTGTGGCAGACAAATTGCTGAACAGTAAAGCATGTGAACTAAGAGGACAAATAGCATTCCTGAAAGGTACTTCTCTTTGAAGCTGTCAGGAAAAATGAAATTACCGGAAAGAGCCAGCATCTGCAGTGTGTTTATCTGAGGTCTAGGGCCTGTAAACTGCTTTACAGGTTAGGTTGGGCTGGCAAACAAGTATGTAAAATGATATATAAGACTGGGCATATATCAGCTACTCAATTCTGATAGGTCAAGCTCTTGTGATTTTTTTTTTCTCCTTGAATGCTAGCTCTTACATTAGTGTAAAGAGTTGCTTACTACTAAATTAATTGGAATCATGTCTATTAAAAAGGTAGATTCTTTCAAGATGTGCTTTTGCCCTTCTGAAAGCAGAGACAAAAGTTAACCCCATAAATCTGTAGGGGCATGTTGGTGACCATGGACAAAATCTTCAGTGTCTCACTTATTACTAATGTAACTGTACTTTGCTCCCATTCCAGGACACCATTACATGTGTCAATCGTGGTCAGGAATGAACCTGTATTCAGTCAGCTTCTCCAGTGCAAACAGTAAGTCTCACTGGAATGCGAATTACACTGAGGTTACCTGGTACAGTGAAGATACAAGAACTGGTTTAACAACTCCAGTGCCTTTTTGCCTTATAATAAGGCTAGCAATAGGCTTGGGATGCAAAAGGGTAAAGGCTTTGCATAACTTGCAAAGATGCCAGAACAGTGCCAGAAGCCGAGTAAGTTTTTGCCCTACTGTAAAGAGGAAGCAAACTGCATGTCAGTGTTTTTCAGAGAGGGCTGGGTGAAATAATGTAGCGATAACTTCATTTGTAGTGGAGCTAGTAATAAGACTCTTAAAATGTCTGAATAAGTTCTTGAGTTCAACTTGGGTTCTGCTTAAGGCTAGTACAGGTGAATTAGGATGATGAAGCAGAATACTTCATTTGACTTAGTTTCTTTGTGTACAAGAACTGTAAATTCAACTGCAATGTACTCAAATAGAAAAGGATTTGCCTCTTTGTTACGTTCAGTGGGAGCCCAAATCTACCAGGCCCACATTTCTCTTAGGAGCAATGAGCTTAAACCTAGTAGTCACTGAAGGGTATTTTGCTTGTTTAAGAGTATTCACAAATTCTCTGAAGTAACTGGAGCTACGGTAGGGTTCTTGGCAAGCAGAAGTTGTCAGTGAGGTATTAGATATACTAGTACAGCTGTTCAGACACTTGAAACTTAAGCTGCATTGGGGACCATTAACTCTTATTTTTAGACTAGACTTAGAGCTGAAGGATCACGACGGAAGCACAGCTCTGTGGCTTGCAGTTCAGTATATCACTGTCTCATCGGATCAGTCTGTAAACCCTTTTGAGGATGCCCCTGTTGTAAATGGAACCTCATTTGATGAGAACAGTTTTGCAGCGAGGTTGATTCAACGAGGCAGCAATACAGATGCTCCGGACACAGTAACAGGTAAAACAGAGGTTTGTATTTCTGTGTAGGTGGAAGGCTTGTAAGTTAATTGCTTAACGCTAACTGTACTCTGGGGAGTTGAGTGAGGTTTCAACACCATTTGCTGCATAATAAATGATAGGTGGTGGTAGCTTTACCCAAAGCTTGGAACACTGGTCCCAAACTGAGCTTGACTTGCAGGACAAGTGACAGGAAATCTGGACTCCTTGCCAGGTCCCAATATCCTCTTTACAGTTTCAGAATGTGTAATTGCTTAATGGTAGTGCACATGGCAGTCCAGCATTGTAATGAGATCACTAGTTAGTATGATTTTTCCTTGTAACCTTCAAATTTTAATGTTATAAGGTGCCAGGGAAGGTGCTAGCACGCTTAGTATCAAAGTGTAGTTGAAATACCACTCTAACAGTGTTCATGGTTTTTCTTTAGGAAACTGCTTGCTTCAGAGGGCAGCTGGTGCAGGAAATGAGGCAGCGTCTCTCTTCCTAGCAACTCATGGAGCAAAAGTCAACCACCAAAACAAATGGGTAAAAGCAGAAACATATAGACTATAGTCTGAATGTTTCCTTGTTTCTCTTCAGAAATAAGATAACAGGGATTTCACTGCTAACCATAGCTTAAAGCAAGTTGGAACACCTGCTGAGCCTTCTGGAAGTTTTCAGATATTTACTAGTGATCAAACAACTTACATTCTCATGGCACTGTTATTGCAGCATCACCAGTTGTTAACATGCTTTTAACACTTCCTTCAGTGCCTGTTGTAATAAAGTCCTTAATACAGGCTAACTTATGTAGTTTGAAAGTCCTAAGGAGCTTCAACTACTAGGACATAAGCTCCACACCAGTACTTGTAGTTTAAAAGCTACTTCTCTTCTGGGTTTCATTTCTCAAGTGGTTAACCTAGTCCTCTGTTTTTTAAAGGGAGAAACACCACTGCATACAGCCTGTAGGCATGGCCTGGCAAACCTGACAGCAGAACTTCTGCAACAAGGAGCCAATCCAAACATCCAGACGGCAGAAGCAGTGCTTGTTCAGAAGGATACATCTTCTCCAACAGCAGAGAACGTTTATCTGCAAACTCCCCTTCACATGGCTATTGCTCACAATCACCCAGATGTGGTGTCAGTCATCTTGGAACAGAAAGGTAAGGTTTTTCCTGGTTCAGACTGTATTGATGCTACAGTGGATCAGCATGTCAAGATGGCATCTAAAATGTGTTTTGACAAACTACTAATAAAGCACGGCTAAACATAGTCTTAAACTCAAATCCTCTGCTTGTTAAGACGAGAAAACTGATTTGCCTGTAAATCTTTCTCAAGTCTCCATGGTAGGTAATGGACTTGAACACGTAGCCCCAGGTTGTATTCTGCCTGTGCAACTGAGATTCCTTTTCTATGTCAAAGCATTTGGTTCAGGTAAATGCTGGAATCAAATATGGATAAAGGCATATTTCATCTTTCTGTGGTGAGACTTCTGCCTCCCTCAGCTCTTTCAGTGAGGATTTTGTACAGAGTAATGCAAGTATTGTAGTAGAGTTGAGACTTGAATACTGAAATACTATCAGTTTATTAAATGCTACTAATTCAGCTCATCCTTTCTAGCAGCAGGAAGGGGGTTTGACAGCTGAAGCAAGGCCTGTTTTGTCTCCTGCCATAAGTGGGATTTAGAGGGAGGAGGTGAATTGGGGAGAGTATCGTCCATCTCAGGGAGCTGAGGAGGAGGAGTACTGCCACCATCTTGCAGTATAGCCTCCACTCTTCATTCTCAGAGCTTTGTATAGGCTGCTCCATTTGGAAATGGAAGTAGAAAAGGGGCAGGTTTAAGCCTCTTAGCTAGAAAGCTGAATTTTTTTTAGTATAAGTATAAAGATTAGGCAGTAGTGGCAATACTACCTGAATCCTAAGCAGTGTTACACTTGGGAAACTGAAGGCATCTTGCTCCCATCTTTTAAACTGACTGCTAAAGGAACAGCCTACTTCAAAATGTGACATTACTACTCCTGCAGCTTTCAGCGTGCAACTGTGGGTCGAGTACAAGAATGCTCTAATTCCTTATGCTTTTTTCCTAGCTAATGCTCTTCATGCTACCAACAACTTGCAAATTATTCCTGACTTTAGTCTAAAGGACTCAAGAGACCAGACAGTGCTGGGATTGGCTCTTTGGACAGGTATGTGTCTTCATAGCTTCTGTATCTTTGTAAATTCTCATTTTGTTTTGATGTGGTAAGATTTTAAAGATAAAACAGCAGGTGTGTGTTCATGTCCTGGCTTGTGCTGCTAGCAAGAGACTCTCAATGAGAGCTTTAGATGATTCTTCACTTGTGAAACTGAATGTTCACATCTGACTTACCAATAGATTTCTAGCCCTACAGCTTCCCTTGTTCACTGCCAGGTAGGCTGAAGCCTCTTGCCCACAACTGTACTTGCTGTTCTGTGGAATTGTTCCACTGTGAATTCACGGGTAGTTTTAATATCAGATCCCCATATTGTCTGTTCAGGGTTAACTCTGTTCTAGATCCTGGTTAATACTGTAATGTTGACCTTCACAAAGGAAAGGTAAGCTACTCTTCAGTAGCAATTAAGGGGAATGGAACTTGAAATACTGATTCAGAAGATGCTTTCTTGTCTGAAACATGGAGAGGAGTGATTTGGGGAAAACTAGATATTCTTGTTTGCAGCCAAGTGACATTTCAAAAGTATCAGGGCATTGTCAAAAGAGGTGGTGTGGTCACTACTGAATCAATTTACCTATGGTCCTACTGAGCTGGAAACAGCAGCTGTATGGGGGATGGCTAGTCATAGTTAAGAGGCAGAATGCTTAGTGGTGTTGCTCTGTCCAGGAGTGCTAGGTCATCCATATATGACAGACATCTTTACTCTCCAGGCTTTTCGCTTTGTAGCTTTCTCTCTACCATTGCTCTTACCTGCTTCTGAGATAAAGGAGGAGGAACTAAGCCAAACAAGGAATAGGTTATGAATGTAATACCAAAGTTAATATGTTTGGACAAAAGCCTGAAGTGATAGGAAGGATTAGGCTAGATATGGTTAGTGAGGACTCTGCTACATGTAGGTTCGCAGAACTAATGGCGAAGCTCTGTTGTATGCTGGACAATATCTTGTGTCTTTAAGCAAGACCAAAAGGGCTTGGTAATCAATATTCAATAAGTCTGTAAATGAATATTCAAGCTGGGTAGAGTCAGGAGTTGGTTTAGCTCATGTGTGTAAATTTTAATAGGCTCTAGCATTGATTCTGTGTATCTCCTGATGTAATTACTGAAAATTAATAAAGGTTCAGGCTTTTAATGTTCAGTGTGTCTCTTTTGTAGAACTGGAGGTGAAATACTAACGAGCTTTAACTCTTCAGGCATGCACACAATAGCAGCTCAGCTGCTTGGGTCTGGAGCATCCATCAATGACACAATGTCAGACGGACAGACTCTGCTGCATATGGCGATACAGAGACAAGACAGTAAGAGTGCGCTCTTTCTCCTGGAACATCAGGCAGATATAAATGTCAGGTAATGTCCGGTTGAGTCTTGTATCAGTTAAGATCTGTATTTAGGAGTGGGTAGTGGTGACTGCCTTTATATAATGGCTTGAAGTTGATTTCAGATCATGATCTGTGCATAGTTACGCATTTGGTGCTTTTTATGGCACTAGTTATGGTTGAGGGATTACAGATATGAACTTGGACCTATATGTAGGTCCATTGGTCAGTGCCTCTTGAGGCTGCAGAGGGAGGTGCTACTTGATTCTGGGTAGAACAGAATCCTCTGTAACAGACTCTCAGTCCTAGGCACCTGGAACTTTTGTAGCTTCATTTATGTGCCACCTTGTTGAACCTGCATGTCTTCTACCTTCTAAAGTAGATGTAGCTCCAGCAACAAGGTTCTGATAGAACTTGCCTCTTGAGTATCTCCCAGTCAAGTTGATATTAGGCTGAACAAAACATTTTCCTATGTGCATGACTGACAGGCTGTCTTTCAATGTAGGCGAGCTATGCCATAGTGAATGTCATGGGTACAAACTGCCTAATGCTGCTCTTCTAACTTCAGTTTGTAACAGTTGGTATTTCTGAGTATTGCTTGAGGTGTTAACCATAGTGCAGACAAAGCTGTTAGCTTCTGTGGCAGTAGGCTTGCTCTGAAGGAACTCTCTTCAGATAATGGCTACACTTAAGGAAATGAGTGTCTCTGAGCTAAGAATGATAACATGCTTTTCAAACCTCAGAAATCTGTCACTTGCTACTAAAGGTGAGGGAAAAGTAAACAACATAGCTGTGATGAAAAAACAACATGGTGCATTTGCTTGGCTGTAGGGATGTGATCTTACCACAGCAAATACATCAGGAGATAATTCTTGGCTTTGCCAATAAACTACTGTAACGTGAGGCCTGATTTTGTAATGCAGTAGTAACACACTTCAAACTGTACCTATTACAGAACACAGGATGGAGAGACGGCCTTACAGCTAGCCATAAAAAACCAGCTCCCTCTTGTGGTTGATGCTATTTGTACCAGGGGAGCTGACATGTCTGTGCCAGATGAAAAAGGAAATCCTCCTCTATGGCTTGCCTTAGAAAATAATCTGGAAGATATTGCATCAACTCTGGTAAGACTGTCACTCGACTTAATTTAGTCTCACTTTTGTGCATTTTGCTTGCGACAAAGGGCTCATCAACAAAAACAAACTCAATGCATGGAAAAAAAAGTAGTCCTGTACCACTAACTTCTAAGAGGTTTTTCTTCACTAGAACTTCCTTATTTTTGTTGGGAAATCTTTTACAAACATTGTAGCGTGCATGGCCAAATATCTTGCAGCCACAGTAATAAAAATCTAGAACATGCTATCTGGATTCCTGATTCTGTAAAGAATAAGGATCTGCTAAAACCATCAGTCTGTAGCATACCAGACTTGTGTAATGATAGGCTTCCTGAAAAAACTTAACACCCATATGTGTTCTTTAGAGCATGTGCTGGTTTTATTGCACCTTCAAGTTCCATCAAGAAGGCCTTCAAAGACTTACATTGACTTCTAAGACTATTTACTTTCAGGCATAGGTGATCCAGCAGGAGACTTCTTAGGAGACATAAGCAGACCTCCTTTACTTGCAAGCTTTGTCTCTACCCAGTTATTGTCTGGTAGAGACAACTATTTAAAAGATGTGCTGATAACCTGAGAAATGCATCTTGTAACTGTACTTGACCACTTATGCTGGTATTGGATAAGAATCTTTATGGAGTCAGCACTGAAACTACTTGCGTACAAACTTCGTAAAGAGTTTGTAAGGTGGAGTGGAACAAGTTTTATTTAAGTGCCACATTGCTTGAGTAAGTAGGTCTGTAGCAGAAGAATACAAACACCAGTTTTTTGCAGGCACTGTATTTCTATCTCTGTTTAGCTGAATGTTTTACTTGCTTTCCTATAAGCAAGTAAATGGGCCAGACCTTCAAAGGCAGTGACTGCTGGTGCTACTTAACTTGCTTCAGGTGCTTGTCGTTGCTGAAAGCAAGGTAACTGTTACCCAAAAGGCCTATTCAGAGTATGAGTGAGTATCTGAATTGTTAGTAAACACTACCTAATGAAATGTTGCATAGTAGACCAATAAAATATTGGTCCGGAAGACATTAAAGTAGCTTCCTGAATTTCAGTGGCTGTCCAAAGAATAGATAAGGCATCTCAAATTTTATCTCTAAGGGATAATGTTTGAGAAGCATTAGTCAATGACTATATAAAGTAGGAGCCTGCTGGAGACGTAAAGAAACTTCATCGCCTCACTGTGCTTCTCCTTCCAGGTTAGGCATGGCTGTGATTCAACCTGTTGGGGGTCAGGACCAAGTGGCTGCTTACAAACACTTCTTCATAGAGCTATTGATGAAAACAGTGAACAAATAGCATGCTTTCTTATTCGCAGGTCAGACCCCTTCTAAAATCCAAACCTTCTAATGTACATGTACATATTTTCCTGGCATAAGTTAATTGAATGCTGTTTTGAGCCAGTAACAGATATATACTTCATGAGACTTTTGGTGGGTGGATGGCACTTACGGAAGTCTGACTAATCTTAAAGACACATTGTTATCCAATTATAGCATCGTGTTCTTGATGACAAGAGTCAAACTAAAACCAGGAACTTGTGCTTATGTAGAATGTGTCAGCACTTGCTGGATCAGCTCTTGCAAACTTCTTTCTGACCTTTGGAGCAGTTTAAATCTGGATTAAATGTAGTAAATTGACTGTATTGTGCTTGGTTTAGTGGTTGTGATGTGAATAGTCCCAGAAAGCCAGGTCCAAATGGAGAAGGAGAAGAGGAAGCTCATGATGGACAGACACCCCTGCACCTGGCAGCCTGCTGGGGACTAGAAGAGGTGATCCAGTGCCTTTTGGAGTTTGGTGCCAATGTCAATGCTCAGGTGTGTAGAGAAATTGTGTGCAGTTTCTTTGGAGTTGATTCTTTGCCTCTAATGTAGTGAAAACAAACTTCTCTCTCAGCTGCATATTTTGTTTGATAGGAAAAAGAAGATCCTTCCCTGTTATGGCTGAGCCAGTGTGGTGACTGGCTGCAGTTCTATGTGGTTATCTGCCTGTATGATGGGTTAATTCAGGAAGCTATACTGAAGGAAAGTAATGATACAGAAAACTTCTTGCAGTGTTAGTTTTCTGATGTAATGTTTGGAATTCAACTCCTCTGTCTTTAGTGCAACTTCAAGGCAGGAGCAGGGCTGTATTCTGCTGCAATTAATCATTAGATCAGCTATTATATAAAACCACAGAATACTCTACTTTGTGTTTGGGAAGTGTCTTCAGTTACTGAGTTAACTGAGGTGATGTAACTGAGTTGCAGTAACTGATTTTTGATTACACAGTAATCTTCAAACAGAAGCTTGGCATACAGCTACAGAAGAAATTAATGCATAACATTTCTTGGTCCTGATGCTATTGAAAATGACTTCAAAATGAATGACAGCACACATAGTTATCAAGCAGCCATGGCTGTAAACTGCTGCCAGGTGAAGAAAACAGTATATTAAAGTCTAGCAAATGCAGATAAATTGTTTGCATAACAAACATGCCTGATGCTGTTATATTTTCAATGAGGGAGCTTCCAAGTGTTTAGTTTCAAGAAAGCTTAGCTCTAGTGCCTGAGACTTAAGCTAGGGAAATATCTGTAGTGCTGAATCTATGGAAATGGTACTTCAGGTTCATATATTGTAGTCCATACATCATTCTTTCAGATAAAAATTGATTTCTACAGATTGTTAATACTATAAAGTATAAACATCAAATGCCTCAAACTACTTAGTTTGAAAGCATTCTCTTGGAATGCTTGGCTAGGGTCTTGAATGCCCATTTCTGTCCTGAAAGTGTCTGACTACATGGGAAATGTTACTCTGAACTACTTAAATGGCTATATGGCACAGGACTGAGGTCAATGTATTTGGAGAAACAAATGCCAATGTGCTTCACTTACACTGTGGATCTGAGCTCCCACTGCAGCTGCTGGGTGTCCCAGCCAAATGCAGATGGGTATGTCACAGAACTAAACTAAGAAGCTGCTGCTGCTTTTCAGAGTTAGGGAAGGATTGTGTATTATTGAATCTTCATATAACAAACTTCTGGTTTCCTTCTAGGATGCAGAAGGAAGAACTCCAATCCATGTTGCTATTAGCAACCAGCATAATGTTATCATTCAGCTTATGATTTCACATCCAGATATTAAGTTAAATGTACGTGACAGGCAAGGAATGACTCCCTTTGCATGTGCTATGACGTATAAAAATAACAAAGCAGCTGAAGCAATTTTGAAGAGGGAACCAGGAGCTGCTGAACAGGTAAGCTGGGAGCATTTGAAGCATGCTGGTCTTCCTGCACTAGTCTGTGGTAACAGGTGTTCCACACAAATTCTGCTTTATCTTTTTGTGGCTTTACATGTGATGATATTTGACAGATGTCAGTCTTCTGTAGCAGGATGTATTAGGAAGCTGTAGGTGTGTATGTGCGAGTAAGAACATCAAGGGATAGTGTCTCATCAGACCTTATCTCATCTTGTCAGTACTAAATTGAGGATCAGGCATACATGTATAGAAGGAGAAAGGTCTGATTCTACTCTTGTCTTGTGCTGGACTAGTATGGAAATAACCTATTACCTAGCTTCCCTAAAGCTTTCCAAAATAGAAACCCTGACCTAAAATAACTGAATAATAAATGTTATGCTGCACTGCTGAACTACAAAACCTCCAACTGTATCTTCAGGCTTCTGGTGTGTGACATGTCAGGCAGCTATGCATCATTCTTTCTCCCCTGTGTAAGTTTAATTATTAGTAAAGTATTTGAGTGCTTAGTGAGTTCTTGTGATATCTAAAATGTGACTACAAATACAGCTGGTTCTGAATATGCTTGAACATCAGCTTCAAGGCACAGATGAACAACAACTTGCACTTGGTATCAAGCCAAAAAAGAAAGACACTTTGCATCATTGTGGCAGGATTGCATGTTGCTTGCTTTTCAGGCATTAATTGGCATATTGACTACCGTTTGTTTCAGGTAACTGAGTTAATTAATTGCTGCTTGGTTCTTACTACAATAGCTGTTAACCTTTTGTCTGTCATGCTCTGCAGTGTGTGCTTAAGAAATAACAAGGTTATAAAGTAGAAAAAGTAGTCTGAAGCAGACTAGAGTGAGCAGCTGCAGCTGATAATTTCTCAGTTCAGTTTATTTGATAATCCCATCTACCAAACCAGTCTAATGTCAAGCAGTGAAAGGAACAAGGCTTTACAGGTCACCTCAAGTAGAGGGAGCGAGTATCTCTTGGTGAAAAATGTCCTACTACGTAACAATTTGCTGTTCTACAGAAATAATGGATTTCATTTCACATGCCCTTTCTGCCACAGGTTGATAATAAAGGTCGGAATTTCCTCCATGTAGCTGTTCAGAACTCTGACATTGAGAGTGTGCTGTTCTTGATAAGTGTGCAGGCTAATGTAAACTCTCGGGTCCAGGATGCCTCCAAACTAACACCTCTCCACCTGGCCGTACAAGCTGGCTCAGAGATCATTGTGCGTAATCTGGTATGTACTGGAGAGTCATTTTTCCCCGCTTAAAAATGCACATTCTGCCTTAATGCACATTGCCTGTAGGCTGGAGAAATCAGCAGAAGGTGACACCACTTTTTCTGGAACAGAACTCAGACTCGCATAAAGTTCCTATAGCTTGTACTGTTAGCTGAGCTGCATCAGTGGCCGTCATATAAGCACGTTTGATTTCAGCAATCACTAGGTAGCATGCCTCACTTTAAAGGAAGAACCAAACCATGCACTTTCTGCAGATTTGAACATGAACACAAGTTGCAGCAGCTCAGTAATGATAGCATTTTATATGTGCTGGAGGCCTGGAAGTATCTCTGTACAGTGGAGTCTTGTGTGCTTCATTCACAGAAATAAACTGTTGGCTAATAGCCCTGAAAACAACTTTGAACATATTCCTTCTTGCATCTTGACAGCTGCTTGCAGGTGCCCAGGTGAATGAACTGACTAAGCATCGTCAGACTGCTCTTCACTTAGCAGCCCAGCAAGATTTGCCCACAATTTGTTCTGTTCTTCTGGAGAATGGAGTAGACTTTGCAGCTGTAGATGAAAATGGAAATAATGGTAAACTTCAGTTATACAAGTAGATGTAAACACTTCAGTAGGTCTGTTAATGGTATCTCCTGGCAGTAGAGATAACCCCCTGAATGGGCTCCCCCTTCAAAGGTGGAAAAAAAAGTCAAACCAAAGCTGGTGGAAGGAGTTTTGGAGAGGGAACTGTGGGGGAAGTGGTGCTTAATTTTATCAGGCTGTAATTATTGCTGACATTAACTACTTCAGATGCTTGAAGCTTCTCTTTTACTTTTCAGCTCTTCATCTGGCAGTGATGCATGGCCGTCTAAACAATATCCGGGTCCTCCTCACAGAGTGCAATGTAGATGCGGAAGCCTTTAATATTAGGTAATTAGTATAGAACAACAATCTATTTTAAAATGTGTGCTGGTATGACTAGATTAAAAAAACCCAAAGATTTGGCTTTAGTATAGTATTAGTATTTTGACACTAATTTTACAGTGAAGTGTGGAGAGAATGCTAAATTGTGTGGAAATTATGTATACCAACAAAGGAGGTTAAAGTAGGCAATTGTGTTACGAAGTGCTGTGTTATATCGGTGTAGGATTGTTTAAGTCTGGACCAAACTTGAAGAGTTGGATGAGTAAGTGTAGTAGCAAGCAGACTTTGATCAGAAGAACAATCTCTTTTCCCCAGAGGCCAGTCACCGATGCATGTTTTGGGACAATACGGGAAAGACAATGCAGCAGCTATCTGTGACCTGTTCTTGGAGTGTATGCCAGAATATCCTCTTGATAAACCTGATGCTGAAGGGAACACAGGTCGGTGAGACTGAACAGCTATTACATTTGAAAGTCATTCCAGTCATGTTAAAGGCTTGTCATTGTTAAAGCTGGAATAACTGACAGTATTGTGTTAACTATAGTAAGATGCAAACATGACATGGAAATTTAACTACTCTGGACTGAGTGTAACACAAGACCTGTCACTCTTGAAGTCTGGCTTTTGTTTTTCAGTGCTCCTGTTGGCTTACATGAAGGGCAATGCTAACTTGTGTCGTGCAATAGTGAGAGCTGGGGCTCGTCTTGGAGTTAACAATAATCAAGGAGTCAATATTTTCAACTACCAAGTTGCTACAAAACAACTTCTCTTTAGACTGCTGGGTAAGTACTACATGCTGCAGTTGGAAAGTGTTTTTAGCTTATGGTTCTGAGATACTTCTCTGGAGGAAAGAACTCCAGACACCTGATTTAGATGACAGTAATTCCAGAGGGGCTGAGCTTCTGCCTTAAATGGGGGGTAGAAATACCAATTTTTCTCCTGATCAACTGGAAAGTTTTACAATGCAGAACAGTCAAATATTACTTTTTCTGAAAGGGTAGATGTGGAGACTCCTGAGTGATGTCATAGTTTAATATAGCTTGAAAGCTAGATACTGCTTTCTAACTTCTGCAGTATAGTTGCTGTGGATAATATATAGTTGCTTTTATCAACATCCCATTTTCTACAAACAAGACTGCAGCTACTGCAGAAGTAGTTAAATCAATTATGCTGCATGCAACCTAAAACCTAAAGCCTCCTTAACGTTACAGCGTACTCAGGAGGTGTCTGAGCCTGTTTTGACTTTACATTTTTGCCTCTAACAGATATGCTGACAAAAGAACCTCCCTGGTGTGATGGCTCCAACTGCTATGAATGCACTGCCAAATTTGGAGTCACGACAAGAAAGCATCACTGGTAATGTGACACATCCTGCTGTGCTTACAAGGAGACTGATTCCTCTTCCAAATGTAGCTAGGCTTGTTCCTTCTGGTGGTTTAGGAAACCTCCATGTTAATGTAGGTGCATCATCAGTAATCCAGCTGAAACAGTCCACCTTGTCCTACATCAGGAACTTGTGGTCTGATGCAGTTTGTGCACTTAATATTCTGACTTCTTGGAAATGAGAAATCATGTCCAAGTTCCAATAGTGAAATGGAGGATGTTGATGCCTGCTTTAAGTGGTGGGGCTGACTTGCTCTGAAAAAGGTGACAGATTTGGGCAACTGCTGCCAGCTTAGATTAGGGGTGCTGTTTGTAATGTGGAAATGACCAAAGATGCTGACATGAGTTGCTCTTGTGGAGACATGGGTTGCCTTTTCTTAGCTAGTACAAACTTCTACAAAACGTGCTGGGTTAGGTGGAAGTTTAGCTAAGACTTTTCTTTTAGCACAGGTAAGAGTGCCCAGTGTTCCAGAGAAACTGCACATCCATCAGTTGAAGGAGTACTAAGTGACTGACTAGTATAGAAGCAGCATGGGGTTTTTTGGCATTAGTATCCAGCTATTACAAGAGAGATAGATACAAGAAAAATGTAGCATTTCAGTTGCTACTGAACTTTTTTAGTGATGCTATCATTGAAGAATATCAAACAGTAAAATCCTGGTGTTCACTGTGAGTGAACTCACTTTTCTCCCACCCCTCTTCTGTCAACAGCCGACACTGTGGACGCCTGCTCTGCCATAAGTGCTCAACAAAGGAGATTCCTATCATAAAATTTGATCTGAACAAGCCAGTACGAGTTTGCAACATCTGCTTTGATGTCCTTACTCTGGGAGGAGTCTCCTAGTATGCTATGGAAGTAAAGGGATTCCCAGTCAGTGCTCCGACAGCAGCTCTGCTTACAAGCCCTCTGGATAGGGAAGAGGAGGCCTGTACATGTCTTCTGCAATAGACTGAACTGATTAAGGACCCTGTTATGATATATTCTGGTATAAATGACTTTGTATGACCATAAATGTATTGGGCTGTGATAGACTTCACTAGGAATTTGAGTGGATTGTTGAAGCCAAGTGACAAAAGAATTTAGACCCTCTTCTAGTTGCAGTGGGGTATGGAGGCTAAAATTGTTAGGCTAATGTTTGAATCGACATAAAACAGGTCAGTCCTTGACGTGGTGCTTTGCACTGAGCAACTCTATTAAGTCCTGTGGCTTTCAGGCTGCTTAGTAGAGATGGCATTAAGTTTCAGGGTAACCAGGTATTTTTTCTTTGCTTTGTCTTAAAGATAAATGTTCCTTTTCTTCAGAGAAGACTTCTTGTGAAGCTGGACTGAGCTGTTGCAACCACTGTTCATTTCAAGGAACTCTTCAAAAATGGGGGTAGTTCTAAGCATAGCTCAAGAATTGTGGCCTTACAACAGAAAGCTTTACACCATCTGATGCAAAGCAGTCAGAATTGCAGATCCACGTCTCGATACCTCCTCAGTAAATGACTCAGTAGCTTTAGCATGTTCAAGAGAAGCGCAGGATTGTTTTAGCCAGTAAGTACTCTTGCTCATAGCTGCTAGAGCTGTCAAAGTCTTTGTTGCACTCTCATATTTACATTGCTAATCCTTCCAATTCATCAAACTTGTATAAATGAACATAAGTGCGCTGAAAGGCCTAAGCATATGCTAAATGGAGAAACACTAAAACTGGTTAAATAGCGTAACTGGTAATACAGCAATAAATGCTGAAGTGCATTATAAATCCTGTGAGGGAGAGCAGCACTTTCCTTTGGTATCAAGCCCCTGGTTAACTGCTGCAGGAGAGTTGGTAACCCTACCAGCGTAGAATGTGCTGCACCTCGAGACAGTAAATCTGGGTCCAGTTTTGGCAGGATTGCTGGCGAGTGGGAGTGTCTTTGGAGGCTTCCTGTTAACACTGGGCTTCTGACCTTGAAGGAAGGATTCTGAATGGGCAGTGTGGTGCCAGGCATTTGGATTAAGCTGCAGTATTTTAATCTAGGCTGGTTGTGCTCTCTTAAACATGCTGAATCTGTAAAAATCCAATGCCATGTTGTCTAGGTAAACAGGAAAAAAACTTTGCTGATACACAAGGTTATGGTTTGGTGGGCAAAGGCTTCAGTCAGAAAAAATGTGTACTTAACCAAAACTACACGCCATGTTAAGGCTCTCTTCATCCCAAGGGATAAACCTAGTTTAGACTCAGCATTCCTCATCCATGAACTGGTGTGGATTTATGTAATGACTGTTATCTCCAGTGTATGGTATGGACAAGCTGGTGACATATTGCCCTGCTTGGAACAGTGACTTGTCAGTCTTCAAGAGTAAGATGAAATGATAAACCAGACTGCTTCTTTTTATGGGAGACTTACTTGAGGTTTTTCTCAAACTTGTACAAGAAAAGGAGGGGGGAGGGTGTAACTGCTGACATTTGCACGATGAATTTCACATCAAGTCTCACTTGATCTGCACTTTGATTTTCCAATATGCACATATTGTAACTGGAATCTCACCTTCCTAACACTAAAGGAGAATAATGGATGATGATACAAATTTGCCTCACTGTTTAATATCTGCTGCTGTCATGTCACAGAATGCCCTGGGTAACACAGCTGGTCTCTAACACAGTTACTAATACAAATGGTGCATCTCCGGCATAATATTCTAGGTGAAGGAGGTAGAAAATAATGGTGTCTGAAGCATTTAACTGAGCTACAGTTTGGAGCTTTTTTTTTAAATAGATGATGGCAAACATACTAGTCCGTTGCTTTCTGATGTTTTAGAATATCACTGGTTGCAAGTCTTTAGCAGTGAAAGATAATGACGGAGAGTGCATTTGGTGAAAGAAGTTGTGACTCTAGTGTATCCCATGATAACACGTTGACTTCCTTCTTGGTTTGGAGCTACAGAGCTGTGGAGTGGCAGGTGTGTGCTCGGAATACTGACAGCAGTAGAGGAGCGTTCCTCCGAGGCCATAGCCTGTGGACTTCAACTTAATTGGCAAACTGCACAACAGGTAACTGCTAAAGCATTTCAACATCACTTCTTCAGTGACTGCTCTGATGGAAGGAGCAAGGGACCAGGGAGCTCAGTTCTAACAGAATAAGCAATGTTTTAAATGATGGAGAATGTGGATCTTGTGAAAGCTCAGCTTAACTGAATGGCAAGTTTAAGGCTGGCTAGTTGTTCTTTTTAAAAGTAGAATATTATTTATAACTGCCTGAAACTCTGGGAAGTATCTGAGAAACCACATGTAGAGCTCCTAGTTTGCTGTTTACAGCCAATATTGTACCAGCTTTCTTACTGAAGTCTGAAAGGAAAGGTCACTGATAAAGTCATGTATGGCCTGAAGTGTTCATTAAATTTAAACCAACTAAATTCAGTGAATTTGATCATTTCAAAGTGCCTTTGAGATAGTTTCCTTCCAGCCAACTCTGAATAGCTTTCTGCCAGAGTTAAAGGTGAAATCCTTCATGTACTCCGCCTAGTGTTGGTCCGAACTCGCAGACCTCTTGAGATTTTTTTGGGGAGTTTTGCTGGCAATGCTCCACTGCAGGGTACAAACGTGAATGGAGGCACTTGGTAATGTGGTAGTGGTCAACACATTTCTAACTGCATAAACAACTGCTCTTCCTTTTTGTAGCATACTACAGTTGTGACCAAAAACCCCTTTTACTCCTGCTGTCTTTCAATGGTATCTACTATATTGAGACTCAAGTCTGCCAAGCATTGAACAAAAGGGTAAATGGAAACCAAACCAGTTTCTGTCCCTGGGAAGTGATGCTGTCAAACCAGGCTTCAGGGCACTTCAGCAGGGCTGCATGGGAAGTCTGTGGTGGTTCATGCTGTAGCTTTTTGTTCCGAGACTGGATTCCTTTTGATTGCAGTCATCTAGCACTCTTATACAAGCACAAAATGTGGTCTGGCTTCAGTTTTAATTTGTGTATCTGAAAAAGGTGTAGTCGCTGTTTCACACCACTAAGTGGAGTGCGAATGTCAGTGTTGAAGGTACTAACCGAGCGTAGCAAGTTGCTGGCTAAAAGCTGACAGATGCCTTAATGACTTCCTGTGCTGGAGAGCAATGGCTTGTACAACTCATAGTGCTTATAAATTAACTTGTAACAATATGGGAGGCCAAGCCTGGATTTTTTTTGTAGATCAAATGTTAATAGGCAAGTCCTCTTTTTCCTGTAACCAGCAGAGTTGGTACTGCAGCAAACTCATCTTTAGAAAAATCAAAGCTTGTATGAGTGACCATAATAACTCTGAACCTTCTAATACCCTCTGTGAAATAGAAAAGGAAGTCTTAGAACAATGGCATTTTATCTGCAATGTTTGTCTGGAGTCATTGTAAAAAACGTATTTTTCCAATATGCATTACTGTCTTGTGTAATGATTCTACTTGTAATAAAATGCATACCTAGATAATGCAGCGTGAGGTGGAAGCCTTGTTAAGGACCTATCTTCTCCTGGAGGGGCAGCTGCCCCTCTGCAACCTATCCTTCACAAGCCACAAGGAAAAATGGGGATAGAACATTGAACTGGGCATGACAACTTTATTCTTTGTTCTGAAACTATCCCAGGTACTCATCTCAATGTTGAGGAACTGCTACAACTGTTCTTTCGGCTGACAAGGTCTGGTGTTCTAATTTATATCCTGTAGGCATCTTGATTGCCTTTATAGTAGACTTGCCTCCCCTCACTCTTATGAAACTATCCCGACTTCCTCCAGGCCAGAGCTGGTTCAGGGAGTAGATCAGTTCTCAGCTCAGATCCATTGAAATGGACAAGTTGAGCAGCACTGACTCAAAGTAACGTACTACTCGTGCATTCAGTTCTGTACTGGTGGGCAGCATAGCCTCCTCGAGGAGCATAAAACTGCTGCAGGTTAAATACAGGAGAAGGAAAGCTTCTTTGCAATAGCAAAACCAGCCAAAACATCTTTGTGATGTGTCTTTTATTAATAAAAAGCTTAAAGTACAGATGAGGGGTGAGTTTCCGTAGAGCACCGTGTTGCCTTGACCCCTCTAACTGCCACTCTTTTCTTCCCACCCTTTCTACCATGGGAGGATCTAGCTGAGCTTTTGAATGGGAGTAGAAAGAAGATAATTGTGGAGCACTTCAGGTCAATGAGGGAGTCTCCTTGTTTGCTTTAATAGATGACTTATTCCTAGGGCAAGTCAAACTTCCTTCCCTGCCCCCCAGTGTTTCCAAACACCAAACTGAGGAGTAAGCTGTGAACTGGTTTTCAACCAACTTTAACTTAAAGCAACGCCATCCCCTCTTGCCTTGCTGCAGCAGTTTATTTGATTTTTGTGTAGCTCTTGAAGATCAGCCTTCGAGCACTGTTTGCATAGTGCTGAAGCACTACAGCACAATGAAACTTGCTTAGAAGTTCCCCAGCTGGTAACACCTTCACTGGGCCTCCAACTTGTGATGTTAACTTATACTTACAAACCACTTCTTACAGTATTTACTAATCTGGAATTTGCTGCAGCTTTTAAAGCTATTTTAAAGACCCTCACCAATCATTTGTGGGGATGGTTTAACCTCTACACACAAGTTTTTGTTAAAGAAGATGTAGCTAAAAGCAGATGGTGTGCTGACCCTAATAATGCCCACTAAGCTGTTGAGACAAGGCAGTGCTGCTTTGCAGCTCTTTCCTGCAGATTTTACACAGCTTACTTTTTAGGATTGTTAGGTGACATGAATAGCCCCCTCAACTCCCAGGGCTGAGCTTCCCTCCTACAACTGTGCCAGGGGCCTTGAATGCTGTGTGATGGCTCTGTTGCTGCTTACCTACATCTATATCCTCCACTGATGACTGCTAAGAGCTGGCACAGCTGCCTGGAAGTGCCTTGGCGGACTTCAAGATTA